ATGGCTATGAAGAATAAAACTAAAAATGAATAAAAGAGCACTTACAAAAAGAATGGCTGATTACAGAGCTGATAATTATTACTATTAATATGATAATAATTTCCTATCACTGCTTAAATCCAAGGACATCAATTAATTTTTAAACTACACTTTTAATACATGCAATGTAGAGATCTCAAGTAAAATGACTTTCTGTTATTTTAATTGAATATTTTTTAACTGTAATGAAGGGTGACTTCAGTGTTTCTTCTGGGCCAATTTGTTTAATGAACAACACAGTATTAGCAAGATTAAAGACTGGCCAGGTACTTCTGGCTCTTAATGAAGATTTAATTACATAAATTAACCTTCAGCGCACAAAAACGGCTATTTATTGCACTGAATTGTGCGCAGTTCTCTTCCAGCTCCATTGCTCATAGACTTGCTGAGTGTATTTAATTAAACTCGTCAGGTGAATGTCTGCATCGATCTGTTATTGCAGATGACCGGCGCGAACATCTGCATTTCAGGGATGCATTTTCCCCCGTGATGCTGACGGCATGCAAAACTCCGTGCTGTTTCCCGCTTATCTGTTAATGATTGAATAAATTGTCACAGGCAAATTGTGCATGAAATTGCAGTTAATTGAATAAAGTGATCCGTTTTATGTTATTGTACATCCCAGACATAAACACACAAACATTTATATGCCATAAAGGTCAGACCAGCGGATAGGGACACATCTCCAGCCAATGACACGGGGTCTAATGAACTGCAATACGGACATCTGACTCCGCCCTCCCGTGACCCTTGTCTTTGTTTGTCCAATCAGCACATGCAGGCCACAAACAGCAAAAGGAGGTGGCATTGCAGGTCCTTGGGGCGTCCAGACCTGCCACGTGTCCCCTCGCCCTCCCAGCTGTCCTATAGGAACAGCAGGTTAAAGCTCATTGAAGTGAGTTGATTAGCCCTGATGGGAAGGTGCAGAGTCAGCTGGACAGGCACGGCTGGAAAGGCGGCCGTCTAGCCTGCTCGGTGCTGACAATATGAAGCAGTGACCTTTCATTCCGCACTGGCCAGGAGACCAGCAGAGCACCGCTAGTGAGGCAGGTTAATGATCACTCAGTTACTCCACCTGCAAGGACCGCAGAGCCTGGCTGGCTGCAGGAGAAGCTCAAACGAGATCAAAGTCCTTCAAAACTCAGTCCAACTGGCCAAACCACAGTTATTTCACCAATCAGTGACACACTGAATCCAGAAGTGAATGCATATATATATATATATATATATATGAATGAATGAATATATTCTGCTCTAATAGGTGATTTATATCTTTTTTTGGTGCTTGTTAGCATGTTCAGTCGTCATACATAAGTGGAACATTGCATGTAACTTTGAGAGAAATTTCATTGGCAAATTTGCTTTCCAGCGGTTCAGAAACAGCGCAGAAATAAACATCTGCAATTAGTACCTAGACTATAAAGTACTTATGAGTTAATAAATTGCTGTCCAAGCTTAGGAGTCAATAAATTAAATACATTATTTTTGTAAAATGTCAGGTGATGTAGTGGTTGATGTAGAGGTTTTGTCATATAAGTAGAAAGAATGCGATTAAATCCTGCCAGTTTAAGTATATAAGTGTTGCCCAACACAGAGAGTCACTCAAATTATCATGAATAAGATCAAAAACTAATTACCATTTGGCAACAGCATTTATTAGCCACACAAAAATATCAAAACACAGCACATTACATACAAAGGAGTTTAAAAAAATTAATATAATTGTGTAAATGATACATAAATGTTGTTGCCAGCATGAAGTACAGGTCAAGTGTGAATTATTCAATCCAAAATATAACAACAAATAACATTTATACGCCGCTTTGCTTTTCATTTGTGTCCCCTGTTATTAGCTGATGGGATACATTCACATTATTAATACCTGCAATTAACAAAAGTCCTGAAAGTGAATTAATCCCTGGCTATAGTGTCAATTACTTTTCCTGACAGGCTAATTAATGTTGAAACTATTCGTTATTCATTTACACAGCTTGTATTTATATTTTGGTGTATATTTTCGCATATATGGCAAATAATGACACTGCACAAGTCTTTAAAGGCCCGTGAGCAGATGACGGAGTCAGCTTTAGGGTAAAGCAGTGGCTTTTGGATGAATTGTTTGTGTTTATTTTCACCTGCGTGGCCAGCAGATACAGGAGATACAGGAGATACGAATGCGAGGCCAATGACCTGCGCCATCCCATGCACGGATATGGCGGATGCAGAAAAGACTGTCAGTCGTGCTCTTACCAAAGTATATTTATTTGCCAAATCTGGTCTGTGGTGCTGGGAGGGCATGAAATAGGATTACTGGGAGTTCCTGCTGACAGGAAACAGGCATGCCCCACTCTCTGTGTCTGCTGGTACAAAGGGGTAGGTCAGGGGAACTTTTTCACATTTCTGCACAAATGTGACACCTGCAAATTCGTTCACAACATCCACACCAGCACTGTGCACTGCAGATATTTTCTTTATTTTTACGGTTGGATCTGCAATACCAAGTGTCCCAAACTGTCCTCAGAATGTTATGGGATAGCGTGGAATATGCAGTGTCATGCAGCCCAGTGCATCACATAGCCCAAGGTGTCATGCAGCCCAGTGCGTCACATAGCCCGGCGTGTCATGCAGCCCAGAGCGTCCCATAGGCCAGTGTGTCATGCAGCCCAGAGTGTCACACAGCTCATAATGTCATGCAGCCCCCCCATGTAACACAGTGCAGACTGTCACACAGCATGTAACGTTGTGCAGCCCAGGGTGTCATGCACCCCAAAGTGTCACACTGCCCAGTGCGTCACGCAGCTCATGGTGTCACGCAGGTCAGTGTTTCATACAGCCCAGTGTGTCATGCACCCCAACATGCTCTGTTCATGCAGCCGACAGATCTGCAAGTAGCACACAGTGTCTGACACAGGCTGCCTCCCCACACAGGGGGCCACCGGAAACCCAAGATGGGTATAACCACTAGATGGTAAGCATCCTTCCCCAGTGAATGGCTTTTTCTGTCTGATTTAACAAACATCCTATTATAAGCTGCGACTGATTGTGTGGCCCCCTTTCACAGCGATGAGATCAAGTCCTTTTCTATGCTCCAGACATCTGCTGGTACTTCCTGGACGCCCAGGAACACGGCAGAGAGGCGGCCCTTTAACCTGATCACGTAGGTATTCTGCTTTCAGTCTTTCAGAATGTTTTGTTTGTTTTATTTACAAAGCAGGTGTTTTATAACCATTAGACTAATACAGCCCCCGTCTCTGGGCTGAAAGCAAATAGAAACAAGCTAACAGCTAAGTGACCCCCCCACCCCTCAATGGAACCATCTGGTGACATGATTTAAAAAAAAAAGATGGTGTGAAGGGGAAGCTGTGTACCTTAGGCCACATACTTCTGTTTCACGGCAAAGCCGCCGATTCCAGACCGGCTATCATGAGGTGTTTTTGTCCAGTTACATTGTGAGATTTCTGTAGTATGTATAGTATAGTGAATCTATTTTACATGATGGTCTGTTTGCTTGACATGGACCGGAGTAAGACCTGCTTTATTTTTTAAGCTCACTCGTGAAATTATGTGAAATGGATGGCTGGATAGATGGATGGATGGATGGATGGATGGATGGATTGATGGATGGATGGATGGATGGATGGAAATTCTAGTATGTTTATTTGCTCACCTTGTTTTCAAATTTAAAAATAAATGATGTAAAGGTTCTTTTCTACAAGGTATATATGATAGATTACAGCAGAAAGACAACACTAGTTTCAGAATTATATTGTATTTATAGCCATTTTCACCATTTATATGTAAAGATAGTAGTTAAACCATCTTCATAGAAATAAATCCTCAACTCATGAAATGTGGGAAGTGCATGGGGTTAATGATTTATACAATTATAAAGTTCAATAAAACCAGCATTGTCAATGTTCTTTTGTTGATGAAACATTTGGGTAAAATCAGCGTTACATTTAACAAACATCTAATCCATTCATGAAGTGAAAGTAAATTTAGTTTAAATGCAGAACACTAGAAAAGGTATAAATAAATACCACAATGGAGTCTGATTGTTGCAAAGTTTCAAAATTCGGCATAAATTCTCAGCTTTAGTCCAAATTCATGCTCATTTCACATATGTAACAAAAAAATCATTAATCAGAACAATTTTTGTGCAAGTTTTTAAAAACATTTCACAATGGTGAGTTTGTTTTATTTCTGAGGAAAAGAATAAATACTTTTAAATACTGATCGTTAACAATAGTAGTTACTGGGCAACAATCAAACAATAATTTTTCTTTTGTTTCTTAGCAAATAGCAGAGCTAGTAATTTATAATGTGCATTTTGTCTGGCTGTGGGTATGAAATATGCATCAACACCCAGTAATACTCCTCCCAATAAAAGTCAGGGCCCTAATTGATTTACACGCTGCCGTTCGGCCAGGAAGTTTTCCGTGGTGCTGACGGATTGCCACGCGTGGCGACGGCGGGTTTAATACCCCGACAAACATCTCAGCGGCAAACTCCAGCTGGATAATAAAACTCATGCTGCTGGAGCACCTTTCACTGGGGAGCGAGGATTTGCTGCTTAAGTGAGACGGCCTCCCCCTTTATGCGCTCCTGGGAAGCGCGAATAATGAACCAATCCTTTTAATGGCGAATTATCCCCGCTTCTGCTTCCCGAAGGCGAAGACCTTGCAAATTGACGTATCTGTCTTCTGAGGTTTTTACGGGCACGTAATGGCCTTTTACAATATTAATATGGGAGCGGTGCATTTAGCAGAGAGTGGCAGGCTGGAGGGATGTCCTGTGGTTTACATTAGGGCCAGCGGGGACCGGCCAGTCCGACCCAGACCGTCCCAGTCTGCTCCTTCAGCTTGGGGATTTGTTCTAAATCCAGCTTTAAGAAATGTTGTTTCCCCTATGGTGAAATGAAACTTCTTTTACCCCCCCCCCCCAAAGCCCTACATGTTTATATACATATAACACTGACAGTGAAGCGCCGCTTCCCCTCCATGTCCCTCCTGTTGAAGATGTGGGTCTTTGACTCCGGGAGCTAAAAGCTTAGCCACCTAGCCCTCACCCACACCGCTACTCTAAACACTGATTAAAGCGGACTGGATGTCACATCTTGTTATAACATGAGACAGAAGGCACTTTCCTGGGAGATTAAAAAAAAAAAAATAGCACACGCTGACTGATCCTCCCGGCAGAAGGGGGGCGACGGGAGGAAAGGGCGCCCCCCACTAAATCTTGTCTGGAGGATTTCTTTTTTTTTTTATCAACCGAGGTACAATCGACTTGTAAACTCTTCTGGCACGAAGACAGATGGGCTGATACTGAATCCCTGCCCTCACACCCCATCAGCGATATCCTGAGCAGAGGCTCCCAGGAACCGTGCAACACATTCCGGCGTTTCCAGGCCGGACGCATGGCGAACGCCGTGAAGCGAAGGGTGACCTGCGGACGAGGAAAACAAATCGACCTGAAACAGAAACCTTAAGCGCTGCACTTTACACAACACAGCACAGGAAAATAATTTCTGTATCCCGATAATAAAAATGGGCGAGGTAGAGTAGGGTGCAAAGAAGGGTAACTGCCAAGGAGGGGTGGGGCTGCCCAGTTGAGTAAATTTTAGATTTAAAAGCTCTTCTGTCAAGCGTTTTTATGGACTTGTTTACATCTGGTACTTTATGGTCATTATTTGCCTCGGAGGTCAAAGAAATATAGACAGGTCAGTACCCTCACCTTAGAGTCCCTTTGACAGTTGTTATGGTTACCCGAGGACAAATGAGCACAACTGTTGTTAGCGCAGCGGGAAAATGTATAAATATTGATTAAAAAACTTAGCAGATACTGGGCAAAAAGTGACCTTTTTCTCACCCTTTTAGGGAAGCCATCAGAAATACGTCGACTGTTTTTTCAGGGGAGGCAATTAATTCATAATTCAGTCCCCGAACCAAGCTAATTATCGTTTCTTATTCCCTGGTATTTTGACAAGAAACGTTGCTGCCTTTTCACGTAAATCAACGCCTTGCTGGTGGTACACTTAACGTTATTAATGGGACGGTCTAAAAGCGTCCTTTAATGGGCTTGCCGGACACAGCCGACAAGTATGTTTATGTAATCGGCTCTGCAAGGAAAACAAAAATCAATAAAATCACCTGCAGATTCCTGTGCAAAGCGGCGAGTTCCAGTCAGCTCAGAAGGTGCCGCTTTTAGAAGACGTGAGTATGGTAGCTTAGTGAAGGAATTGACAGTATCATTTGTAGAGTTTTTATACATAATAATAAACCTGTGACCATTTTAAACACAGTTTACACACAAACACACTCATATACTGTATATATATACACATACACACATTCATTATAAAATAGGTTAATGAGAAATGAAATTCTCCGTTATAATTGTATCATTATAGTAATACACTTAAACACATAAACACATTATTTTGGCAGACTAAGAAAAATTTAAGTGATATAACCTTTATATTGTTTTAAAACAATATAAAACATTTTAAACACATAAATCTAATTTTCATCTAATTTATTCTTTAAGACACCTAAGTCACATATATTTTGTTGAACCAAAAAGCCATATGATACAAAATCCAAATGTGACTATTGTATAATTTTTTAAACATCTGCAATAGCATAATTGAATGACAAATACTTAATCAAATACACAAATTGAAAATCCTGCAAACATTTGAAAAAAATAAAAACAGGGAACATGAAGTTGCAAAATTCTGGAAGGAACATAATCCACTCTTTATTTGTCCTGTCATATAAAAGTTTTTTAATAGTTAAAGCAGATTATCCATCCATCCATTGTCCAACCCGCTTATCCTACTGGGTCGCGGGGGGTCCGGAGCCTATCCCGGAAGCAACGGGCACGAGGCAGGGAACAACCCTGGACAGGGGGCCAGCCCATCGCAGTAAAGCAGATTATGACACCCATCAAATGCACTTCATTAAACTGCTCCATGATCTAAGCACGATATCAGGGTAAACTAAAAACCAACAGTCATGTCAGAGCAAAATGACTGGAAAGCAGAAGCAAACAAATCGGTGATGCAGCTCATGTTGGTCCTGCTGGTCAGGCTCCTGACGTGTCCCTGGAATTAACGCCAGCTCACAAGTGATCAATCATTTCAAAGGTAAACCGCAGTCAGCCTCTCTCTTCCAGCACTCTCTGTACAATGAGTACAATGCTGATACTGATTTAAAAGCCTTTCAAGTTAAAATTATGATTTTCCTGTATTTGCATTGAATTGGCACAATAGCTGATGCGCATAGCCAACCAATTACTGAAATGAATGGACCGGGTGCAAGCCAGATCTTCATTCTAGAACTTATGATCACCCATATGGCCTTTCTGTCCAATGAACATTCAGGAATCTTTTCGTTAGTCTTCAGAGCAAGCCACTGCCAAGCTGCACGTGTAGCTTTTTCATTGTTTATGTTCTCACATCCTCTTGTTTTATAAGGGACCTTCCAACCTGATCAGGAAGGGCTATTGTTGACTATGTTGGTACAAAATGTGCTTGAAAATATATCTAATTCAGGTTTCCAAATAAATATTTCTTCACAGCTAAACTTTATACATACCTCAGGGGGCGTTTTATTTTATATTTGGCAAGTAGCTGAAACATTTGTTCTGCCAAATCATTTATTTTATAGCCTCTTTCCATCCATAAAGGCAAACCAGTCCAGAAAAGCAGGACACCCTTTGAAGTGCTATTCTAATTTGATTAAAATTTAGTTCCTTCCTGTTATTATGCACTTTTCCTTGTGCATTTTTAAACGGCCAACACAAAGTGTCCCGCACAGGCAAAACAAATGCTGCATTTTAAATGAATAAGCAAGATTGATTTAAGAGCCCTTTCAGGCAGTGAGCGAGCTCCCCCCCGCCCCCCCCAAGAGGAAAACCCCAAGGTTAATTATTTAAAGTGAGTGATCTTTCCCACAACAAATATTTTTTGTTTCAATGAGGCATGGAGTGGCGTGCAGGAACTGAAATGGTCTTTGATGAGCCAAAGTCATTTCGCTGACTTTTATCCGAGTTCTTTTATCCTCAGTCACACGTGGGGTCTGGTCTTCAAGGAGGTTCCTCCTTCTCTGGTTCACGTCGGAACATCAAAACGAGTAGCCACCCAAAGCTGCATTTCCATTATTCACATGATTTATTTATTTCATTCTTCATTATTGTCCTGCTGCCCAAGGTTTGATGTCTCAGGGCCGATGGGGAGACGTGACAAGGCTGCTTCGAGTAGCCGAGGGCTACGGCACCTGCCACATCTGCCTGCTTTTAAATAAAATTCCTGCTCCCTTAGATTCTGAATGAATGCTATACTCTTCAAGCTCAAAAAAAAATCTCCCCTTATCTCACCTGAATTCCACTGATGAATCAGTTTCTCATCATACTGTATGCTGGATTGTACTCCTTACACACAAAACCCAAATATCTGTCAGCCGAGGATAGAACCGCATCCAAAACTGGCACTGTGTCAGGCTTCAATTTAACCCTGGGAGAGACACCAGTGCTAAAGGCCAAAATAAATTTCTGTTACAGAGCAAACACAACCCCCCCCCGACACACACACACACACAAAGGTGTGCCTTCGCGTGCTTTGTGCTGATGTGGCATAGACCAACAGCGCCAGGACCAGAGACAGCAAGTGAGGCTGTGCTGTAGACAGATGATATCCTCAGATGCTGAAAAACTCAGAAGTCAGGTGATAAATCTATTTATTCACAAAACACTGTGTGTTTGTGTGTGTGTGTGTGTGTATGCATGTGTGTATGTATACATGTGTATGTACAGTATACATGTATGTATGTATGTGTATAAATAAATAAAATAATAAAATGTATATAAGCATTTAATTATGTAACATAAGTGGCTTTATGCCCCCCCCCCATTGAGCGTCAGAATCGCTGTCACAGCTACACAGCCTTCAGGCTCCCCTTCCTGTGTTGTCATTAATGTTTCAGGCAGTAGCCGTACTGGAGAGATGCTGAGTAACTGGTGTTTCTCATCCCGGTACCGGGATGCTTGCCGTGTCCCCCACCCCCTCCCCAAGCCACGCCCCGAGCCACAGCACTGCACTTCAAGTCGGGGTGGGGGGTTCATCAGTGGCAACAACACACACAATCAGTCAGTTCACAACGACCATGTGACGATGGCTATGGAACAGTACAAGAACACTGGGAGATTTCAGTGTGGCTTATTTCTAAAGTCTCATGTAGCTTTCCTATGATTTTATTTTCAAATTTGTAAATAGCTGGCATTAACTTGACCAATATCAACTTGATTTTTATTGACAAATGTAATCATTATCACAGATGCCCAGTGTGTGTATATAGGAACACAAGATGATCCAGGTATATATGTTCAGGGTGCATCTGCTCACCTCTGGGCACCAAACCCCCCCCAGTGATACGTGTTGAGCTTCAGTGGCGCTGAGCATGCTGGGAGCTGAGTGGTGCACACGCACCCACAAACAATACAGGCAGATGCACAGCTGAAGTCAGAAGCTCCAAACTAGTTCTCATGAATGAAAGAGCAAACAGCTGAGCAAACAATTAACTCGTAATTATTATAAAATTTAAATAACCATTATTTAATTTCGAGGCCTGTTCATGATATAAATAACACGATGCACACATTTCATTGCTGACAGGCCTGGAGTGGCGTGACAATGCAGTTTTCTCGGCACGTTTAAAAGCTTTATGTCGGCCGAAAATGGGCTTTGAATAACAGTAAACCCCACACACCGTAGTGTGGGTCTCGGCTCACTTTAGTACGTATAACGACTCGTCAAAACGATTTCATTTGCATAGACGTAGGTAGCACGATTCATTTCTACATGGCGTGATCTGAAAGTTACGTTTTGTCGTAATGTATAGTAAGCGTTGAAAAAAACTAACATCAGAAAGAAAGCAAAATCCAACGCCGCCTACTGCAGGAAGCCCGAGCCCGGCAGGTCTGTCCGCCCCCCCTCGCAGTCGCTCCGGCGCTGGAGACTGACCGGCCCGTGGCGGAATGGGCGGTTTGGCCTGCCGATTGACGACGTGAATGTCGGCTCCCTCGGGCAATGTACTGCTGACTAGCTGAGCGGTACGCTTCCGAAAAAATACCCGAAACTACATTTATTTCACTGATAATATCTTATCCCAATAACTGATGAATTCCATTACACTTAAGGCAAAACGCCGTAAAAAAACGAAATTGCTTAGCTAGACAACATTTATTTCCCTAACGCAATTTAGAAATATTATTTTTCAGATTTAGGTTGGCTTTCGGAAAAGTTGTCGTATATCATGGGGACGACATACTCTAAATAATTTATTGTTTTGTCCAATAGGAGTTTACACTGTGGGACACAAGTGGTAGCTAATATAATGAGTAGAATGCATAAGCCTACTACCTCAATGCATTACTTCTCAATAGAATTCTGTTATCATTCATCTCAAATTTTTACATTTGAGATGAAGAATAGATATCAATGTCCAAGTCCTTTAGAAATATGGTAAAGTACATTTTCACAATTTGACAAGAAAACTAATATCTTTGGCAGAAGTGTGCAGTAATTGATTGATAGGGCTTTGTTGTATTTTTGTTTCCCGCATTATCTCTGAAATCCACTACTCTATGTATTGATTCTTTTCAGCAGTTCAAAATACATTTTTAAAGCAGACCAAAATGAAACCCTCTGCATTGTTTTCAAAGGGTATTTATTTCTTGCATAACCAAGCAAATATTAATTCTCATATGGAAAGTGCAACATGCATGTTTTGGTTCACAGTTCCCTGTGCCCAGTTCATTGGGGGGGACCTGTTTGTCCCTTTTCGCCTATTTAATTTGGACGGGGGAAAATCTATGAAAACGGCTCTTATCTTTTCTACTATATTTTAAATATACTGATTTGTTCAATTAACGTATCACACTTTATTGCCGTATCTTTGCATATGACTGAGCATGAGTTAATAATTCTAATATTGCACAAAACAGGGCTATCTGGCAAAGGTACAACCGCAAAGTAACAAAATTCCAGTTTCTTAACATATTAACATAATAGGGGAAGAATAGGTTCTTATGACAATAAATTTCATTCGTTCTGAGAATGCAGTGCTTGTGGTTCATGAAACCATTCGTTTCGTGAAACTGATTGAACGACTTCAAGTGCCTGTAACGTGAGCACCGCAGCATAGTGAACTGACAGCCATGTGAAC